TTCTCCACACCCTCACCAACATTTGTTGTTGCTAGTTTTTTTGATATGTGCCATTCTCACTGGTGTAAGATGGTGTCTCATTGTAGTTTTTATTTGCATTTCCCTGATTACAAGTGATGTTGAACATTTTTTTCATATGCCTGTTGGCCATTTGCATTTCCTCTTTAGAGAGTTTCTTGACTACATCAAATTAAAGAGCTTCTGCACAGCAAAAGAGACAATAACAAAAACAAAGAGAAACCCCACCGACTGGGAGAACATTTTTGCACACAACACTAATGATAAAGGACTGATCACAAAAATCTACAAAGAGCTGATGAGACTCAACAAAAACAAAAAAAATAATCCAGTCAATAAAAAGATAAAATAAATAAAAATATAAAAATGGAAATATTGTATGACTCAGAAATCCTATTCTTGGGCATCTATTCTATGAAGATGAAACCATAAATTCAGTATTTATCACAGCATTATTAATAATACCTAGGATATGAAAACAACCTCACTGCTCATTAACAGAGGTTTGGATTCAAAAGTATGGTATATCCATACTATGGAATACAATTCAACCATAAGGAAAGAAGAAAAATGTTGCAATTTGTAGGAAAATGGAAACTATTCAGAGATACTCTGTGAAGTAAGGCAAAGCAGAATGACAAAGACAAATATTTAACTTTTATATAGGATGATTCAACAAAGCAAAATAATTGAAAAACTAGCAGATACTAATAAATGAAATAATGCTCCTGAGGTTAGAGGGAGGAAAAAGAGACGAAGGGGGAAATATTAAAGGGGATGTTGGTAGGGAAAAAAGGAAAATAACAAATGGGCAATAAGTCCATGAAATGATGCTCAACATAGTAAGGGAATTGAAAATCATAACTGTGATTATTTTGTATGAAATGACCTCACACATTAGATTGACTATTATCTTAAAAAATAAAAAAAAAATATTTGCCAGTTCCATCACATACATTTTAGTATTGTACAGTAAAAGGATTTTTCTAATAATAGCTTGAATGGTGTGTGTATGTGTGTGTATAATCTTTGCTTCTTCTGGATTGTCTTGCAATTATTAAACATTTGAAACACAAAATATCAATAATGTAAATTAGCCTGAATACAACTCCTTGAACATATTTCTGTTCAAGGTCCCAAATTACTGCATTAAAATCATTAATATAAAACCTTAACACATTTTTTTTAGGTAACAAAAATATGATGTAAAAAATATTTTTATCCCAATGCTCTACTTCAAATACTGTTTTTTTTTTAATGTTTAGGTTGTAGTAAATCTATAAATTAGATATGTTCCTACATAAAATAGATGAAATATCTAATGTAGCCATATTATATTAGAACAGAGTTCTAAGTTGTTCTTTTGCCATAAAAATGTATGTGTACTCTAAAACCCATGGTTCTATTAGGTAGTTATATCGAAAAGATGGTGTGGATACTTATTTTAGCAAAGAAAGTGTGGCTCAACCCTCTCTTTTCCTGAAGAGCTGCAAGTTACAGCAGTCTTTGGAGTTGCCACTGACCCAAAGGAATAGACTACTTTTCAACTTTTAATGGATGCCATGGGTCTCCCAGTGTTTTTCTACTAGCATCTGCTGTTCTGCAGGAAATGTGAGACTGTCGTTCTTCTCTGCTATTCTGCTAATTAGAGTATCTGTCTCTGCACCCTTGGGTCCAAAACTTTTGTGTTATCTGATTGCCTTATTTACTTTTGTCTTATAGTGAGAATAACAAGCCAGCGTATATACTGTATGTTATTAGGATTAATGAAGTAGCTCTTTCCATTTTTATTCATAACTCTGTTCCTTATATGACTTACAGCACTCTGGATGGGAATCGCATATCAACTATACTACCTACTTACGATGATGATGATATCTTTCTCTGATATCATGCTTTATATTGTTATAGTTTAATATAGTGTGTTAGAGCTGAATGTCCATAGTGAAGAGGGAAACATACCTTTCTGTTACTTATATAAAAATTTATTAAAAGGGATGTACATATTGATAATCCAAACACATTGAAAGCCCAGTACTGGAAATATTATTAGTGGAAATATGCATTAATTATTTTAATTTACATAACAAGATCTCCCAGATTTGTTGGGTTGTGGATTCCAAAGAGTCACAATTATGTTAATAAATCAAATATCTATATATCTTGTCTCTACTTGTGGATGTACAGGATCTCTGGCCTTCTGCAGAGTTTTACTTTTCAGGAGTTTCTGGAAGCCTTCAAAGGCTGAGATAGCTGCCGCTCCACCAGCCACTGCAGTCTCCTACTGGATGGTGCTTACTCCTTGGCGTTTTCCTTTATGTAGTTGATCATCACTAAAGCTACACCATGAGCAGGGATGCCCTTCTCATTTTGTGTTTGAATACATTAGGTCTAAAAGTAGCACTGTTTTTTTAACCAGTGTTTTAATGAAACAGGATTTTTAGTGTTTTTTTTTTATCATAGTTCTTTTGTATTCTCTGAATACAGGCATAAATTCAGTGGGGACTGTCTCTGTTTGGGTGCAAAAAGAATCAACAGAATATACTTAGTATTTAGCATTGGACTCTTATGACACCAAAATTTTCTTACTGCATGAGGCTCATCATAATTAACTTTAATAAGATTAATTTTCACATTTTGATTGGTTTGGTCTATTAGTTCCCAGATATTCCAAAATGTATCTGAATCCTATTTCAACTTGCTGGTAACTCCCTACAAACTATCTTTAGCTTCCATGTCCTCCACTACCCCACCCAAAGAAAAAAACAATGATATTTACTAAAATAAACCAAGAAATTTTTAGAAAAACTATAATTCAATTTCTTTGTGATCTGGCATCTTTTAAAAAATAATTAACAAAGGTCTCATTTCACTTCATACAATAATCAAAATTTGGTCAAAGAATGTGTTGGTCCTTATTTAATTCTTTAAGATCAGGTGGGTGAAGAAGGGAAAACTTAGTTTCATTGTATTTTATTCTATAATATCTGAGGGCTATTTGTTAGTAAGAAGTTCTAGGAATAAAAGAAGTTTTAACATGGTAACGTTTCAGTGCTATGCCAGCTTTTTTTTTTTTTAACTTTGTTGTGGCATTCTAATGCTTTCTAGAGTGGTGCAATTAACTAGAAAATCTGTACTTATAGCTTAGAAGGACCAAATGGCTGTTCTTCCAATTTATATCCAACAACCGGAGTCAAGCATAAAGAGGGTATTAGCATTCTCTCACTGTAATGACACTGGTTCAAATATCCAAGGGCATTAATAGTTCTGAGAATTGCTTCCTACTACTATCTGTCTATCCTTTTCTCCAGTGTCTGTCTAAGGGTTCAACTTAGGCTTTTATTTCACTCATTGAGGTCTTTTTCTGGTTGTGTTCTGCCTGTGAATTTTTTTTCTCCAGAAGTGCCTTCAAGTTTCTGGCATATGGATATTACCTTCTGAATTTCTAGCTCTAATAATTTGAATTTACTTTATATACTTATTTTGAAATTTTGGTGGGGGTGAGATAGATATTAGTTTGGGTCACCATTTTAAATGAGAATTGTGCTTTCTATACCACTTAATAGTTCTACATATTAATTTAATGTTGTATATGATGATGAACTTTGTTAGATGTTGATTCCAATATTCTAGAATAGTAATAGTCAACTAGAACAACAGACACACTGTTCTATGCAGTTAAATTATGTTATGGGGATTTATTTGAAAATATATATAGTAGTTATTTTATTCTGCCTTCATTTTAAAGCTGTATTTTTTACAAATGTGAATGAAAATTGAGTTTAAATAGACTGGAGTTTATATTCTATTCATTAAAAATGATGATTGTTGATTTCTTGTCACATACAATTTCTTTGGTAAGGTCTGATTTTTACATCAAGCATTACCAATACCAATAAATTTGATTTATTTTTACATATTTGTAACTCTTTGAAAACTTTATATGAACCTGTTATAGTTTTATTTTTTAGATTAATTTTTATTTATGCATACAAGAACTGGGGTGTAGGCCAGAGGTGTGGGTGCAGTGAGAGGATTCATCAGAGACAAAGTGGGGAGCAGAACAGGTGGATCTACTGAAATACACTGCTGAGGGTAGCAGCAGGCAAGACAGGAGAGATGTGTTATGCCATATGGGCTAGCTCCCTGGTGGAGGGCCGAACTCATGTTGCAGTGGCTGGCTATGATATCTTTATAGTGCTGAGACTTTAACTCCTGAGCCACTAGGGAGACCTAGAACTTGTTATGGTTTTAAATACCAGGTAGTTATCTAATTTCTGTTGATGTTTGAATTTTAATTTAATTTCTTAAGATCAATTTAATAAAGGTCATCTTTAATAGCCTTCCCATTTCCTAAATCATACAACTCAGCTACTCCCTTCCATTTTTTAAATGACGGGGAGCTAATTTTCTTTACTCTTAATGTTTAGATTGCTGAATGCACTGTTGGAAGCAAAGCTGTTCATATTGGTTGAGGATAGGTCAAAACTAGGGCACTTTTCTGAGAATCCTGGCCGACACAGGGGTGGGATAGGACATAGAAGTGATAATTTAGCTTGAAATCTATCAAGGAATTTTTGAAGATTTACTCCTCAACTAAGGCTATTCTTGTAGTAGAAGTATATCTAAGTAAAATTAAATGTTATTTTATGATTTATTTTTTAATTTTTTTTTAAAGATTTGTTTTATTTATTTATTCGAGCACTGGTACAGTCAGAAGTGCGGGAGGGTGAGAGAATTCACAGAGCCAGAGCAGGGAACAGAACAGGCAGACTGAAGAAATACACGGCTGAGGAGAGCAGCAGGTGCTGTAGGAGAGGTCTGTCGCACCATGTGGGATCCTCGCTGGAGGCCGGGGATCGAACCAGCACTGAAGAGGCTGTGGACAGCCTTGCAGCCCAGTGCTCAACCACTGCGCCACCAGGGGAGGCCCTATTTTATGATTTAAACTACAAATATACCCTTCTTTTTTTTTACCCTAGAATTTTTCCAATGCAACTTTGAGATACAAAGGAATACATTTTGGCAATTCTTTAGGAAGATTGCAATTGCCTGTAAAGACATGGCCTGGTCCTGGACACTATGACATAGTCCTGTAAGTAATTAAACTAGTATACCTGTTATTGGGAATAGCCCTGGGTTTTGCTGCATGTCACTACCAAAAAGCCAGTAAGCAGATACAGGAATTGAATATATAAGTGCTTTTATTTTTCAGATCAGTGGCCACTGATCTAAGAGAATGGTGGGCATAGCACTCTGAAGAGACCATTCCACTATGGCCATTGATCTGAGAGAATGGAGAGACCATTCTGCCATCTCATCTTGAGCTGGCCCTTCTGTAATGAGTTAGACAAAGCCAGTCATAGCAAATAGCTCATCAGCACAGCCCATAATAGTTGATGTTCTTGGTGTTCATCACGTTTAGCTCTGCTATCAGCCTCCTGGATGTCTTGACCTTGGTACATCCTGGCCTCCTTGATTTCTGATGGTGTCAACATCTGGCACTCATTTGGGCATCATTGGGCAGGAAACTCAGTTCAAAGCAAAAATTTTCATTTAAAGAAAATTAATTATTAACATATTGTGTATGTGCAGATTCCTTTATTAGGTATGGTGCCTTTTCCTTCCTCCCCAGCCTTCTATCACAACTTTGTATAGTTTTGTACTATAAAGTATTTTATTGATTTAGAATAGATGATACTATTATGGAATAAAAAATCAATATTAAGAACTCTAATTAGTATTACCTGCACAAAAGCTTTTTCTTTTTGTGGGCTAGTTACTGTGTTAGATGTTTTACATGTATTACCTTTTAAAATCACCACAAATCTCTTTGCAGTTACTATTGTCATACCTATTTCATCAGTGAAAAAGGAAAGGAAGAGAATACATAACTTATTCAATGATATGTTATCAGGCAGAATGAGGGGCATTCAAGGACCCCCAAACCTGCCTTCTTAAGAGGGCTCTGCAATCTGCCACATGAAGACAAAACATCTAATATGAAGCTTATAAAAATCAGGTGCTATCTGTATAATTACACTGCTAGTAGATCACAGTGCTAGGATTCAAATCTGACTACAAAGCTTGGGCTCTTAATTATTGCTTATTTAAGTTCCTTATTTTTTGAGGTTGTGTAAATTTCAATGACAATAAGTTTCATTTTCATCTTTAACGACCTATGTACGTTCATTTTTCTGATAGTTTTCTGATATAAGCAACATAGCAGTATTTTCTCCTTATTTTAGTAATAATTGAAATAATGAAGGATTTGGAATTTTAAAGATATTTTTATGGCATTTTAAGTTTTTTTTTTCTTTTGGTAGCTTTTAATTTAAACTCATGACATAAATTCCACATCCTTTATTTTTTCTTGGTGCCATTATTAGGATAGATTTATTATAATACTCTGAATTGAAAAATGCTGAAGTAACTAACATAAATGATGCATTTTACACTCTCAGATTTTCTTATTATTGTTTATTTTTTAAACAAAATGTTGATGGAAAAATTGTCTTTGCTTGTATGAACATTTATATTTTTGAAATTGAGAATGTTTCAATTCTATTTGAATTTTTTAAAGGAAAAAGGTACCACATTATGAAAACATTAACATCAAGAAAGAGGAAAGGCAAAATTATTGCTCTTATCTCCCACGATTTTTTGAAGCAATAATATTGCAGGAAGAAAAAAAAGTAAGTAAAATGTAGCCATTTTATGTGCTCTATAGATTTTTTAGATCACTGAAACTTATTATCATGCAGTTAGATTGCTTTTAGATTACTATATCTGATAGTTGTTACTCAACAAATATTATGGAAAGAACTCTTTAAAATCATTGTGAGTCATCCACCTCTCTGCTTGAACACATCTTGTGATGTAGAACCCACAGCTGTTAAAGACTTTTTGTTTCAGTAGCAGGCAATACTGTTTCTTGAAATTTCTTTCTTAAACTGACCTAAATGTAGCTATCTTTTCCCAATGACTTTTTTTCAATCTAGCTTTTAGTCTTTTCTGGCAAGGATAAATGTTCTTACTAGCTTTCAGTGTTCTCTCATTTAATGCAAGACAATTTAGTTTCCTTTGACATTATCTAGGGATCTTCATTTTGTGAATTTTCTTTTTCAAATGTGATATCCAGAGCCAAGGACACCATTCATGCTATAGTCTGATTAGTATGTTGTGAGATTTTGATCTTCCTTGTTCTGGATAAATAATATTTATTTTTATAAATTCCCAAGTTCCGTTCATAATTTTAATAGAATAACAATTATATACTTCAAAGAGGATAAAAACTACTAATTTAGAATCTTTGGATTGTAATGGGTATAATTATCTCAAAATATATTGAGTAAAAGGTGAAAAAAGCCTTTGGGTTCATACTAAAGTTCTATTTATTTTCTAAAAGAATTGATAACTAGAATTCAGATTTATAGGTAGTATCTTATTTTGAATATTTGTAGAAACATGTACAAATTAAACTAAGAAATTTATTTACTATTCTTTTTTTAAAAGATTTATTGATTGATTGATTGATTTATACATATATACATACAAGCACTGGGTACAGTCAAAAGCGCAGAAGGGTGAGAGAATTCACCAGAGCCAGAGCGGGGAGCAGAGCAGGCAGAAGGAACAAAGTACATTGCTGAGGGGAGCAGCGGGCTGCAGAAGAGGTCTGCGCGCCATGTGGGATCCTCCTCCGGTGGCCGGGGAGCAACCGGGGATCGAACCAGCGCTGCAGATGCTGCGGGCGGCTTCACAACCCAACACTCAACCACTGCGCCACCGGGGAGGCCCTATTTACTATTCATTTTTAATGGAACTTTTTTCTTAGATATTCAGACATCTTTCTATTAAGTTATCTGTAAGTCTTCTTTTATAATGTTACCCTACAGTTTTATAAGGAGAAAGTTTATGTGTATTAGATGCCTTTTAAATTAATATCATGACATATCACATTTTTATTACTTAGCTGTTGAGATTACTATGGTTTGATGAATATTCTTGTTTTGTTTTGTTTTTAAAATTCTGGATGGCAATTATATCAACATGAAGAAGAATTATAATTGGTAGCAATGGAATAAATTGCATTTATTGAAATATTAGCATCTGTTTATCCTTTTCTTATTAACTGTAAAATCTTCAATTGATTGCAAGTTTTTTAAGGATGGGGACTATGTATCATTTAACATTATGTCTATATGTTTATTATAGTACCTTTAATATAGTAAGGGTTCAATTAGTACTTATTTAATAAATGCATGAAGGGATTTAAAACATTCTCATTTTTTAAATACCAACATTTATATTTTAGAGGGTCATACTTTTTAAAAAAAACTTAAAAGAAATGTTTTAAATTCACAGCAAAATTGAGAAAAAGGTAGAGAGATTTCCCATGTTCCCTCTGTCCTCACATTTGCATAGTCTTTCTAACTACATCCCTCACCAGAGTGGTGTATTTGTTAGTTGATGATTTTACATTGATATACCCAAAGTCCATAGCTTACATTTGATTCACTTTTAGTGTTGTACATTCTTTAGATTTGTACAAATGCATAATGAATGACTCTCTCTCACACATACACATACACACACACACATAAAATTACAGAATCATACAGAATATTTTCACTGCCCCAAAAATGCATACTCATGCTTCTCTGCCTCTTGGGAGAGAAGAGAGAAATCTTGGCAACAAATAATATTTTTACTGTCTCCATAGTTTTGTCTTTTCCATGCAGCAGTATAAAAATTGACATTTTTCACTTAATAATATACTTTTAAGCTTCTTCCATTTTTTTTGTGGTTTGATAGTTCATCTCTTTTAACTAAATAATATTCTGTTTTATGAATTTACTTCAGTTTATTCATTAACCTACTGAAGAGTATCTCGGGTGCTGGGAAGGTTGGAGCAGATTTACAGAGCTGCTGAAGACTGCTTTGTTCCAGCTGCAGCAGCACTGCTGTGGGAGTCAGGTGGGGTGGCAGCAGCAGCAGCAGCATCAGCAGCTCAGGACTTTTAGGGTAATGCAACCTATGGCTTTTAAGAAAACACATACCCCACAGCAGGAATCCTCTGAGAATGTTGCTGTGTGGCTGCTATTCCTTGCCCAATGTGTGAAAATCATACCAGATTTAGAAGCCTGTCATCACAGAAGTTCATCTGGAATTCATTCTACCAGGAGAAGAACTCTTTTGACAAAATGCAGCTTCTTTCTATCCTCAAAGACACAGACCTAGCCACTTCCTCAGAACCAGGAAAAATTGCAGAACAGTGAAGCAAAACTAAGCTATGTTAATGTATATAACATTTCACATGAACAGGGTCATTCAGGGTGGTTGTAGAGAAAACTTTATCCTATGTGTACACCTACACTGTGGTGGGCCTATCTTCAGACATGCTGGATGTGCTGTGATTGATTCCTTGTCTTCTTACCTCAGAGAGCAAAGCTTTTGAGGCACATAAAGAGAAAAATTTAATCAGATGACTGAGGCCATGGCAGAATCATTGAGAATACTGGAGAAAACCCATCAAAGAGTTGATCCTGTAAACTGCTAAACTGTTGTAAATTTGAACCACTTTTGTGCAGTGACTCAGAAAAAAACCAGGAAGTAGGGCAGCAAGAACTGGTCCTGAGTAAACAGGGGGACAAAGTGGCTCCAAGAGAACTCCTGACAGACTATACAGAGGAGCCATTCAGGAAAGGTGACACTGTGACTTCAGCTATTTCTGGGAAGGTTGAAAGGAAAGCTCAACTGTAGGACTTTATTGAGGATCTGTTGCAATGGGTGAAGCTGACAGAAAATAGGTTAGAATACATCAGAGTCAGCAGGAGTCTGTCCTCTGCTGTGATATCTGTGAATACAGCTTACAGATTGGTGCTTTCTGTCTCCTCAAATAAGAAACACAAATGATTATGCTGAGAGCACACACATTCTGGGTATAACCACCCCAATCTCAAAACCCATTTTTTTTGACCACCATTTTTATTTGACCACCACCATGATTTTACTTCTCCTACCACCATATGACCCTTGTTTTCTACCCTCCCCTGTTTGGACACTTTTCCATAACCCTCTCTTGCTCTATGCCTCAGATCTATGGTCAGCTTACTAATTTTGTCTTTTTCCTGAACTTTTTTTGGTTTCTCTATATTCTGCATATAACTGAAACCATTTAATTTTTTTCTTCTGACATATTTTGGCTGGCATAACCCCTTCCAGTTCCATCCATGTTGCTGCAAATCACTTGAATTTGTCTTTTTTAATGGCTGAGTAACAGTCCATTGTGTAAATATTTCACAATTTTTTAATTTAAATTTTATTTTTATATTCCCCTTACAATTACAACCCCCTTATTTTGACCTCAAGCCCTCCTTTCCCGCCCCCAATCCCCCATAGAGTGTCTCTAGTTCATAGTTGTTTGTTGATTTTGATATTTTCTTTCTTATAGTTATTCTTTTTCCTGGTCCCTTATTTAAGTTTTCTAGATTCCTGCTATGAGTGAGACCATCCGTATTTTTCTTTGTCTTTCTGGCTTATTTCACTGAGCATGATCCCTTCCAGCTCCATCCATGTTGCTGCAAATTGCATGTGTTTATCTTTTTTGAATGCTGAGTAATATTCCATGGTGTATATGTACCATATCTTCTTGATACAGTCATCTATTTTTGGGCATTTGGGTTGTTTCCAAATCTTAGCTATTGTAAATAGTGCTGCTATAAACATAGGGGTACAGGTGCTCTTTGGAATTGATGTTTCTGTGTCCTTTGGGTAAATATCCAGGAGTGGAATTGCTGGATCATATGGGAGCTCTATGTTTAGTAGGTCAAGAAATATCCACACAGCTCTCCATAGTGGTTGGACCAGTTTGTACTTCCACAAACAGTGCAGGAGAATTCCTTTCTCTCTACAGCCTCGCCAACATTTGTTGTTGCTAGTTTTTTTAATATGTGCCATTCTCACTGGTGTGAGATGGTATCTCATTGTAGTTTTGATTTGCATTTCCCTGATTACAAGTTGAACATTTTTTCATATGCCTGTTGGCCATTTGCATTTCCTCTTCAGAGAAGTTTCTTTTTAGCTCTTCTGACCATTTTTTGACTGGATTATTTTCTTTGTTTTTGTTGAGTCTCATCAGTCTTTGTAGATTTTTGGAATCAGTCCTTTATCATTAGTGTTTTGTGAAAAAATGTTCTCCCAGTCAGTGGGGTTTCCCTTGGTTTTTGTTATTGTCTCTTTTGCTGTGCAGAAGCTCTTTAATTTGATGTAGTCCCAGCTATTGATCTTTGCCTTCACTATCACTGCTTTGGGTGATGTGTCTGTAAAGATGTCTTTGATGTAGTGTTTTGCCTATATTTCCTTCTATGTATTTTGTGGTTTCAGGACTTATGTCTAGTTCTTTAATCCATTTTGATTTGGTTTTTATGCATGGTTTTAGGTAGTAGTCAAGCTTCATTCTTTTGCATGTAGTGACGCACTTTTCCCAGCACCATATATTGAACAAACTTCCTTTGCTCCAATGCATATTCTTTGCTCCTTTGTCAAAGATTAGTTGACCATAAACCTGTGGGTTTATTTCTGGATTTTCTATTCTATTCCATTGGTCTGTGTGCCTGTTCTTGTTCCAATACCATGCAGTTTTGATAATTATGGCTTCGTAGTATAGTTTGAAGTCTGGGAGTGTGATGCC